ATTGTCTCCCTTGTGGTGAGACACCCGTCAGCGTAAGCACAGGCTATCTCTCCAAACGAGTGGCCAATTATGCCGTCGGGTGTGATGTCCAGCGCTTTCATCACATCAAACAACGCTATCTCTATAGCAGTCGTCGAACAGAACTTTGCAGTCATTGTAGACATCGCTGTCTTGTCTTCGGATAATAATATTGTCTTCAAATCAATGCCAAACTCTTTGAGTATTTGATGACATTCTTCCACTTTATCGGCGAATATCGTTTGATTTAAATTTAAGATTTTTCTTTAAAATAAAACGTATTAACTATTTTTGAATAAATTATTTAAACAAATCTATAAATTTCTGTTACACTATTGAGACGATCGTAAATCTTAAGACTTATTTATTGAGTCTCAAAGTAAAATGTGTTACAATCTTAATCACAATTCAATTAAACAAGTGATTGAAAGTGAAGGCAAATTCAAAATAAATGCAATTTACAAATGAGTTGTACATAATTATAAAACAATGTTAAATTAAAGTATCGCATTACTATTGTTATAAAACATGATTGACATTCTTGTATAATGTATAATATATGATTCATCTCACTATCTTGATATAAATTACATTTCATAATTATATAAAGTTTTAGCAAATAATATAAAGCAAAAATATATAAATAACGTGTAAGGTTGTTACAGTAACGCCATAATGGCCGCACTATATAAAAATTATTGTACAAATTTCGTGCTGTAGTAAAACTTGTGGTATGAATGACGACGACCTCAATTAAATGGTCGGATTTCCATTGGCTTTCACTTATCGGCGATAAGTTATCGCCATTCAAACATATTGTCTACAAATTATCCGTATTTTAATTGGTTTTTTGCGAGTAATTAAAGGCAAACCTCGTGTGGGAGAACAGTTGCGATGGCGTCAGTGTCTGGACGGCGGCGGTGCGGGCGGACACCCCCTGGGGTGACAAAATATACGTGAGTTTTGTTTGAATTATTATACAGTTATTACCAATGGATTGTAATTTGTATGCAAAACAATGTCTCGTCTAACAGAAGGGGTTGTCTCTCAATCGCGCCGATAAAGTGGTCGTCTTTGAGGTGAAAGACAGTAAAAAGAATAAACAAAAGGACAAAAAAGTCAACGATTTTTTAGTTATAATAAAAGATAATTTAATAGAAAACACGATAATAACCACAACAGACACCGCCGGCACTGCCATCAGCGCCACTGCCATCAACGCCACGTCACCTCCACTTCGTCGATACGAAAGCGTTGCGTGCAATAGGTCTCAGCATCGAGAACACCGTCTCCTGTAATGAATAGCACAGGTCTTCGGCCGTGTATTCCCCGCTTTGGATCCACTGTTCGGCCCTTTTCTGGAGGAGTGGTAGGAATGGGTGATAATAATGGCATCAATTAAACAGTTTTTACATTCATTTTTCAACAATTAATTACTTCAATGAACGACAGGAGACCCGAAAACGACATATCCATGCCTTTGATTACATACGGAAGCGCACAATACTTCTGACCCCTATATCGGGTGAGACAGACATCTGGTCAGTGAGTGTTGGTCTCGAAGTGACAAAACATGACTCACTTTTTGGCCATTTGCTCGATGTTATAGCCAGGACTCGGATCGTTGGATAACTAACATCGGGGTTGAAAAGTGGTTAAATCAGTGATAATATGCGTTCAAACTGTTGTGACAATACTTTCAAGACTCGGGCGAATCGGTCCAAACAGTTGCCGACAGCGATGTCCAGCGTTTCGCCAAATATACGGTACCGCCGATGACTGTAAGCAATCACTTGAGTGTTACCTCCGCTCACATACAGTACCGTCGGATTGGCCGCACCCGTCACCTGTCGGCCCATCTCTATGTCTGTCCGCAA